GTGAAGATGCTGGATGTGGAGGTCCTGGGCTGGTGTGGTTACACGTGGTCTGCGGTTGTGAGGCCGGTTGGATGTACTGCCAAATTCTCTGAAATGCCTTTTGGAGACGGCTTATGGTAGATAAATTAACATTAAATTCATGGGCAACAGCTCTGGTGGACATTCCGGCATTCAGCATGCCAATTGCACGCTCCCTCAAAACTTGCGACATCTGTGGCATTGTGCTGTGTGATAAGACTGCACATTTTAGAGTGGCCTTTTATTGTGGCCAGCCTAAGGCACACCTGTGCAATAATCATGCTGTCTAATCAGCATCTTGATATGCCACACCTGTGAGGTGGATGGATTATTTCGGCAAAGGAGAAGTGCTCACTAACACAGATTTAGACAGATTTGTGAACAATATTTGCAAGAAATAGGCCTTTTGTGTACATAGAAAAAGTCTTAGATCTTTGAGTTCAGCTCATGAAAAATGGGGGCAAAAACAAAAGTGTTGCGTTTATAATTTTGTTCAGTGTATAGATAGATAGATAGATAGATATAGATATATATATAAAACCTTAGTTTTATATTTCTCCTTTTTAATTTTGATTGCATTTTGCAATGCTTCATGGGATTTGTAGTTCAACCAAAAATGAAAATTACCCCATGATTTACTCAACCTCAAGTCATCCTATGTGCATATGACTTTCTTCTTTCAGACGGATACTGGCTCTTCCAAGCTTCATAATGGCAGTGAATGGGTGCTGAGATTTTGAAGCCCAAACAACTGCATCCATACATCATAAAAGGTACTCCACACAGCTCTGGGGGTTAATAAAGCCTTCTGAAGTGAATCAGTGCATTTGTGTAAGAAAATTATCTATATTTAAAACTTTATAAACCATAATCTCTAGCTTCCGCAAATTGGTACACGCATATAAGCCTCTTGGCTTATATCGAAATCCTTCAACATATTTCTTTACAAATCCTTGTTTCATACTTCTAATTCGTGACCGGTGTTTTGTTTTGCTCTCTCCTCTGAGCTTCCGCATTCGTCACTTCTCACTGGAGCTTATGCTACACCTACATCATCCACTGGAACACCACTCTCTTGTGAACACACGCACGACAGTTAACAGAAACTAGACATTACAGTTTATAAAGTTTAAATATCAATATTTTTCTTACACAAACTCATAGATTCGCTTCAGAATGCCTTTATTAACCCACCAGAGCTGTGTGGAGTACTTTTTATGATGGATGGATGCATCTTTTGGGACTCAAAATCTTAAACCCCATTCACTGTCATTATAAAGCTTGGAAGAGTCAGGACATTTTCTAATATAACTCCAATTGTATTCGTCTGAAAGAAGAAAGTCATATACACCTAGGATGACTTGAGGGTGAGGGTGGGGTAATTTTAATTTTTGGGTGAACTATCCCTCTAAGTGCACTGTTTTGTACATTATGTATGTATACGTTTCCCAGATTTTTTAATTTTATGATTCAAATCAAAGTTTGTAATGTTGTGGTTCACCTCGTAGCGGGTTGATTTGGTTAATGGCCACTTTCCAAGACTTAAAAAAAACCCTATAGGAAAAATTATTGGAAAAAATACTTCCATAACCAAGGTGGCATAAAAAGTGGTTTGGAACGACACGTGTGTAAGGGTCGTTTTTGGGTGAACTATACCTTTAAATGTTGCTTTCAAAACTGAGCTCTGACAGTCCGGTCCTGCAAAGTGGACTAGACTTAGTCTGTAATTAAAAGTCTGACTCTTCATGACTGAACTTGCCCTGTCCTTGATGAAGTCAGTGCAGAACATCTCACAGATAAAATGGCAGTCGATCAAAATGTTGGCATAAAATAAGGAAAGTCAGACAGATGACCTACAGACAAGCCCTGTAAGATCCACTGTTCTCCAAATAAGGTCATTTTCTTGATCCCAGCCAGGTGTTTTTGCAGGATTCTGTGCGCAGTACCTGTCAAGATATCGTCTTAGTGCCCAGATTGATACAGGTGAAGGAGGGATGATCTAAGAGCTCGTGAAATGTAGCTGGGGGGCAGGAATGGCGAGAATCCAATGGGAATTCCTTTTCTGTCTTCTTACTGGAAATGCTTGATGTCATGTATAATTTAGTGGATTCTTTCTCCAACAGCAGCTGGTGTGAAAAAGAGGTAGGGGTTTTCGCTCACGTTATTGTGACTTGCTTTGTCATCAAATCTGCCAAAACAAAGTTCGGGTCGGTGAAGAAAGATGAGGCGGTGCGAACTTTAGTGATGCATCCTTCTGAGAGTTGCTTAAATTCCATCGAGAAGGGAGCCATGTTGGTTTTGGAGTTGGATTGTGTGGAAGCTGTAGAAGATTATTTTGATTCATTTGCGCTGTATACTGTAAATTCGGTAAAGACTCCTGTGATCAGATCACAAGCCAAACTCTCTGGTGATTAATTTCAGCTGATGTCTCAGATGAACCATCAAGCTTTGTCTTGTTTTGCTTGGAATTTATTTGTCTTGCAGGTAATAAATTTTATATAATTGATATTTTGGTCTGTTATAACAGTATAACTAGGGATGCACAGATTATTGGCACCATATCGGTTATTAGTGTTTTTATAAATACAAAAATCTATTTATTAAAAACGTTATTTATTTATATTTTATTAAAATAAAGGTATTTAGTAATTTTAATTATAAAAATATTGTAAAATGTTTATGTATTTAATTTTTTTATTCTTTGTTTATTAATTTAATGTATTGGTCAAGAATGGATATTTAATCATCATTTACCCTTATTTTTACATTTAGATTACCTTTTCCATCATCTAATACTCACTTAAAATTAGCTTAAACACTAAAAATTTAATCTTTAGCAAATCTCAAAATTAATATAAAATTTTCATTCTGTTCATTAGAAAATTCACTTTTAAAATACCAAAAATGTGTGTTTTATTTTTAATTTATTTAGGCAAAACTGTATAATATAATTTTAACTCTCATTATTTAGCTTTTTTCCACATAACTGATACCTTCTGAAGTCTAT